GAATGCTTCCCTGTTTACCCCAAGAACATCTGTGAACATGCATGCTTCCCACTTTACTGGAAGAAAATTCCAGAATTATTCCAGCAACCAGGTTTGAGCCCTCCTCTGCTAGCAGCAACACTGCATCCTCCAAAAAATCCCCAAACCCCTAAAGGCATTCACTGCTTACTGTTAAATTTTCACTGTCTATTGCTAAGTAAGTGAAACTTGGCTATAAGTACTTGTGTCCATCTAGTGTTATATTAGCTCAAGTTATTCTTAAACCAAGAGTGATACCAATACTAAACTCAAAAGACATTTAGATTTCATGGTTTAGCAGCTGCAGAAATTCCCTGCACCTGAAGTGAGGTCATGGGCAGCCTCTGGAGTGGGAAAGCAAAGTCATAAAAATTAAAAGTGACTTGGACATACTAGGTCCTACCTTACCTTCTTGAAAACATACAGGGGAAATCAGATCACTGGTGCAAACCAGAATGATAGGAAAGGATCTTACGGAGATTGTAGAAACAGTTTCCCTGCAGCAGAAATGGCCATTCCTTGTCTCCGAAGCAGAGAGGTGAATTTCACCCAACTCCAGCCTTGCAAAAGCACTTAGAGATCATCATCCCAGGCTGATTTTCTTGACAGACTCACAATAGCTGAGAGGCTATTTGGTTTCTTCTCTACCAGATAATTAGAAAGATCAGAGTGAATTCCACAAGCAAGATCTGTGAACTCATAAAGACGAAACATTTGAGCCTCATGGGCTATGAAGGAACAAGACATTGCCTTTGAAAAGCAAATACTCTGATACAGAAGTGTTCTAAAACTCAAGAGACAAACCCAGCTTTCTACTGGAAAACAAGCCATACTGTTACTGAGCTTAGCATTTTGTATTCAAAGATACAAACCACACAGCTTTCTCAAGTCCTGAATGGGTCTCCAGTCCTCACATCTCTCTTGCCTCAGAAAAGATGCTGTAGAAACCTTGTCCTGAGTTAAGAGAAAACAAGACTTATGGCTTCTAGGGCTACTGCAGTGGGTAGTGTCTTCTGAATGAGGCTCTTCTGACAGACGAAGTTAATTCAGTAGTGGCACAGAGGCAACTTGTTACTGTACCTGTTAATAGCATGTTAATAGCATGTTAGCCTCAGCCCAACATAAACCAGACAGAAATCTAACTTGATGACAAAAGGAGGTATCTATGGAGGTAGCTCACACACAGGAGCAAACATATCTCTAAATGGTGATTAAATAGCAAGTAATTTACAGTCAGTGTGAGACACCTCAAGAATTGGTGAAACCTCCTGGAAAGCTGATATAAGAAGGCAGCAGCAGGGCTGAACAATTTTTACAGGATGGATTTTTGTTTTAATTGGTTGATTCTAGGAGCTGGAAAATAATAGATTCCAGGAGATTCAAGTGTTTCTGAGTAATTACATTATACAACAACTACTGAGGCTATTCAGTGAGCCATTGCACTGCCAGTAACAAACACCATCCCAAGAACCAACTGAGATACCAGCAATTTCTATCAGCATCAACTCATATAGTAGTCGTCTTTAGTCTCAAACACTTCCTTATGACAAAACATATCCTCATCATCCATTTTGCTTCAGTGAACAGGGCTGCGGACAATTATTTATGCACAAACTTCATTACAGATACCCAGTGTCGGGTGAGATGAATCCCATTAGTTTCATCCAGTACTGAGCCCGTCCCTCTGAAGTCTCAACAGAGGTTAAGCTGTCCCAAGAGATGTTCTTTCCTGAAGCAATACAAACATTTTCATGATACTCAAAAAAGAGAAAGGACCTTTACTAGACAGAAACTTAGATCCTGTTTACAGCTTCTCAAAAGACAACAAATACATTTCTTAGAACTTGAGAGACTATCAAGCCCCATACAAGTGAGTACAATTGACAAAGTTAGCAAAGTAAGAGCAGACTGAATGATTAAATAGCAAAAGCCAAGGCTGTTCCCCAAAGATGCACAGTAAAACACAAGTATAACAAAATGTGGGCTGGCATTCTTTTTAATAACACATTATATTTGGAAGACACCCCTGTGGACACCACAAAGGCAAAACTAAAGCTCTACTTCAAGAGCCGAGGGCAGCTGCAATACCCAGCGCATATATGCCTACACGGAATCATTAGGAAATTCACCTTCCTTCCTTATTTCATCAAAAATCCCAACTGTGCAACACATCTTACTCTCATGCATGTACTCCACACGTGAGATCAAAGATTCTAGATGTGTGGAGAACAACGGACATTCGGCATAACAACCACCATTCTACGCGGTGGAATACCAGCCCTTACACTCAGCATTACTTTGAAGTCTCTACAGAGAAAAAGTGGTGACAGAATGCCACAGCTGTACATAAACCCAGCGTCAAAACCATGATATCTACAAGCCACTTCCTTCCACAGATTCTCAGGGAGATCTTGTAGACAAAGCCAGACAAAGGAAACTAGACATCACCCTGCATTTTTTAGTATCTCTCATGAACAACCTAGAATTGCAAACAAAACACAAGTAGTTTCACCTTCAGAATGATACAAACAGGTGAGTCTAAATGGGAACTCACCTAAGCTTTGGGAGATGAGCTGCTTTGGAAAGCAATGCTTTTGAATGCTAGTTACTACTGTACACTTAAATAAGCAAATATAACTACAGTATTGGAACACTGTACCCAAAGGGTAGGGAGTTTTCTAGTTGTGTTTCTCGTTAAAAATTACAGCTTCAAACGCTTTTGTATGGATGACTTGGTGGATTTGGTACCTCCTTGTTCAGCCAAATCAGAGCACTGCTATTGTTTGTGGTGCTCTTTACACTAGAATAGGTACATCTATTACCTAACACCATGGCGGAGCATTTTGATAAAGCATGACTGGAGCTATACTCAGGAAAAGTGGTCAAAATAAAATCACAGGATTGTTTGGATTGGAAGGGACCTTAAAGGTCACCTAGTTCTAACCCCCCTGCCCCAGGCAGGGCCGCCTTCCACCAGAGCAGGTTGCTCCAAGCCCTGTCCAACCTGCACCTGAACACGGCCAGGGAGGGGGCAGCCACAGCTTCTCTGGGCAACCTGTGCCAGTGTCTCACCACCCTCACAGGGAAGAACTTCTTCCCAATATCTGACCTAAATCTACCTTGTCAGTTTAAAGCCATGCTGACCCTTCCCTTATCAGTACCACAGATTCCTTCAGCTCCTTCCTAAGAATGACTTTTTAGTTTTTGGTAGCTGCAGATAAAGCTATTGTTCTTTATTTTGTTTGGGCAATAGTACTTCAGTGCTGTGGAAGATCAAGAATGGTCAACTGCTTAAAAATTCTGTTCTGCAAGCACTAACTAAGGAACCTGAAAAGCTAAGATTAGCGATTCAGACAGCTTTTAAAGAAGTGGAAAGGGAGGGTAGCATTTCTGAAGCTTGCATGAATTGAGAAAATGCTACAGAAGCTTTTACATTAATCCTGACCAAATTCAATGAGGACAAGCAAGACGAGACCTCCGAGTATGCCCTGGAACAGACCTGTCAGGCTGGCACTGCAACTCACTTGTTGACAAAACCTCTTCTTTGGTGAAATGATTGTTAACAAGGTAGAAGCAACTGCACAAAGTTGCTCCATGCCACCTCTGGCACACACAGCAACCCGATCTCCTGGTTCTTTGTTCTCATTTACTTGGACTGAAAGGAAGGAAAGAAGATTAAAGTTGGTCTGTTAAGAGAGCAATGCAAATGCTACCCTCTTGCATTACGGAGAGACAAAGGTGATGCTGCTTCAGGGAAAATACTAAGGAAAATTTGCTCCACGTAGTGGTAGTCCCAAG